AAAATAATAAAATAATAGGTGTAAAAGCTCAGGGGTCGTGGGTCCTATTAGAAACATGTTTCAAACAATAAAACACGGGCCCCTTTGGAAAAAAAATGCAAATTTGATCAATGTTGACTTTTGACAATTTTCCAAAAATTGCCAACTTTGACAATGAACAACTCTCTCAATTTTGACCCTAGAGAGGTGTTCTTGGACTTTTTAGAAAGCTTAGGATGTCCCCTAAGCAACCCTTTTAGTCTCATCTCAATTGGAACTTCCATGTTCATGTATGAAGCCTTCACCCAAAAGGTGTTTTTGTTGACTTTTCAAAATGACCCATAATGTAGAAACTCATATCTTTTTGTGGGTGCATATTTTGAACTTGTGAGCTAAAGATGAGTTGTAGGGAATTGAATCCTCTTCCAAATTAGCTTTGGATGGAAAATTTCTGATAAAGTATGAAGAAGTTATGCTTGATCAAAGTTGGGTTGACTTTTACTAAGAAACCCTAATTTAGCAACTTTTGGATTTTGATGAATTATGAGAAATCCTTGAGGAATCATGATCAACCCTTGATCAAATGATGTATATCACTTCAAAATGATAATATTGACCAAAAATATTGAAGTTTGACTGTATGTGGGTCATAGTTGACTTTTGACCTAGTATAGTCGATTCCCCAAGCATTTGAGCAGTTGACTAAGCAAACTTCTTATGCAAGGCATGAAACTTGACATGTAGGGTCTTGAGAACATATTAAGACCATGGAGAGCATATGAGACCTTTGTGGTCCACCCATCTTGATGAAAATAGAAACCCTAATTTGGGGTATACTGCCTTAGGAGAGAGTTTGTCTGGTCAACTCTTGGGCAACCTTGAGCAAATTGGGGACCTCACTTGACATTTCTTGAGTAAAATGAGAGGGAAAATTTTGGGGTACAACAACCATTTACTTGCTTTTGTCAATACTATGTTGAAAACCTACCTGTACAAACAATAGAATAATATTTAAGACAAAAAACTGCAATATGATTAAATACATACCACATGAGTCGAATCATTTTAGTGACAGAACAGGGTATGGGTCGACACAAATCCTTATGTGTCGATACATACTGCTATCTAGACCCAAAACAGAAAGACAAAAGGTGCATGAGTCGACATAAAACACGAATGTGTCGACACAAACAAGAAATGAGTCGAAACATCCTATTATACATCGACTCATACTGAGTTGATTTGGGAATTTTCAGAAACAGGGAGTGGAATGAGTCGACACATCCCACTATGCATCGACTCATACTGAGTCAATTTGGATTTTTCAGAAACCGAAAATGGCATGTCTCGATGCATGCAGCTATGTGTCAATACATCAAGTTTGTTTTACTTTCTTTGTACACTATTTTCCTTTTATATTTTTTATTGCTATTCAATATGGTTGTAATAATTTAGTTAGGCCTATGCTTCATCCTCATTTGTAAATTGTACCCCCATCCCCCAAGTGATGTAATATTGTAGGATTTTAACTTCCGCATTTTATCGCTTTAATATAATTGTTAGTAATTAGGGTGTGTATGGTAAGATAAAATCAACCATTAGAAAACCCTAATATTCAAAGACAAAAATGCATGCAATCAAACACACTTCGCACACGCGCACCTCTAGGGTAACCCCACTTGTTGCCTACGAATAAATAGTCATGTCCCTCGAATATGAGACGTTTTAACAAAGACCCTCGATAAAAAGATCGTAGTCCCTCGATGACCCTTCGATGCTGCCTTTGGTAAAACGATCTTAGTCCCTACGAAAATTGCTAAAGTGTCTCATAAGTTGCCCTCTATGATTGTACGACGACCCACGACCGTCCCTTCACATCCAAAGATAGGGATTCTTATCAATAAATGATAAGGTAACAATATCTAAAGGAGAAGGAAAAGAACAAAGACCTTTTGAGTAGGTAGGACGCTCGTAGTTGCTTGCTCACAAACTAAAACCATCTCCACACTCACACTTTCAAAACATCTTCAAAAACAAATATCTCTTTGAACTATTTTCAAAACCAACACTTTGTATACATTCTTATAGAGACGAGAATCATTATAAAGTTTGCTGAAACAAAGGCGTTTTCAAAATATTTTCAAACTCACACCAATCACAAACACATTTCAAACAAAGCATTTTCAAAGTGATCAAACAACTAAGAGCCCGTAGATAACTACTGATGAAAAGGGTGCTAACATCTTTCCTTTTCATAACCTACCCCCCAAACTCAAGAAAACATCTCAAAAGGTCTTACCTGTTCTTTTCGCCCTTTCCTTTATTGGATAAAAGAAAAGCCGGTGGCGACTCTTGCTGCTATCCGCAACAATTGCGATAAAATGCAAAATACCAAGTCAGTTCTTCCACCGTATTACAACCATCATCCAAACGTGAACCATTTACTTTTGAATAAAACTTTTCAATATGTAGTGGAAATTTTTATAAAGTATTTAGTGTTAAAAGCCTCAACAACAATTTCAAAATTTAACATGGTTCATCTCTAAAACAAAGGAAAGATATGCAACATATAATAAATAAATAACATCATGTTCCCCTGTGTTACATATTAGTGTGACTTCACTAAAAGACACGATCGTCAAGCAACTAAAGAGGCACAACATTATCCTTAACCACAAGCTTCTACTCAAGTACCTGATTGTCTGTATTCTAGAGGAGCACAGACGCCACAACACAAACAAGGGGTAAGAATACATTCAAATAATTAATGGTGCTTATGTATTTAGAGTAGTTCGCTACATACAAATTCACATAGAAAGCAATTATGCACCACATCCACAAGTATTCATAACTCACCCACATCACCATCTTATATGTTTACTCATGTAATGCAACTCATAACACATTAATGACTCGTATGCATGTCGTACCGACTCAACATTTGGTTCTCCATACGAACCGGGTCCCAATCAACTACGAACCCCGAGCCCCACACCGAGCTCCAAGCCCCACACCGAGCTTGGTACAATCATAAGTCCCCTCACTGAGACTCATAACCTGCCTCTTTCAACAACAACATATGATGCATAAATGAATGACTGCATCATCACAATAATTCAACAATAATTATCGATATCACATTGAACCATACGATTCTTGTGCAACGACCACATGGTAGTTTCCACACTGAAACTATATATCTCAACCCAACACGTTATCATTATGTATACCAATTCATCTCATAATCACATCAACATTATCACGATAATTGCAAAATTTCATTAAATAATAGTATGCTTCACCAATATAGTAGACATATAAATAATACTTAAATAGTTCACCTATTACTATCATGTTTAGCTCTAAGCATTAACTTCCTAACACTTCAAATGGAACGTTGTTTGGATACACGGTTACAAAATTATGAGGTAAATCGTCAAAGTTTGTTATAGTTCAAAACATAAAAAATTTCAAAAATGATACAACGATAACCGATTGACATAAATGACAAACGATTGTCACCAAGTGCATTTTTCCTTTGCCAAACCCAAAAATCACATTTCGAAGCATGACAATCGATTGACATTTTAAGCAATCGATTGTCACAATGTAATTTTCTCAAAATTTAGACTAGTGCAATCAGTTGTCATCTAGAACAATCGGTTGTCACTGTGTGTTTCCAAAAACCACAATTTCACTATTATGTGATAGTGCTCAATTTCCAATCGCTCAGTGCTATACCAGACCCAATTACATGTTTCTAATTTACTCCAACTCATGAGTTATCCACACTATTATACCTAGTTTATTCTATAGATCATAAGCATATTAATTTTATCACAGATTACTCAATTAGATTCACCATCTAGGGACAACTCAATTCACTATGACACTCAAGAATATAACTCAATCAAAGATCAGTATAATTCAATGAGAAGATTCAACAACACATCACAACAATTAAATTAACACATGCAACAACACATTCATCATTATTTATCATCATCCATATTCATCAAACATCACCCATATTCATCAAATTCATCTGAACCAAAAAAAGAAACACACAAGTCCTAATGGAGGCCAAGGGTCACCTCTCTACCCTTTCATGATATAACACCCATATTTGAACAACCCCTCTTACATGATTATTCCAGCAAATATGGAAGAATCCTTGAACTTCTTCTCCTATACATATCCGAAATAACCCAATATTACATTTTCAAGGGATTTTCGAATATACATATTCGAAAATAACCCAAATTCAAATTTTTAAAGGTGTACTCAATATTTCGTCTTTGAGAGTTTTGTTCGGATATACATATCCGAAGTATTCCAACAATTAGAATAAGGTGTATCAATTACAATACTTAGAATCAAGGTGTGTCAATTATATTAGTTATATTGCCTTATCAATTATTTACATAAGTTTTATATATTTTTAGTGTGTTAGAAATGAAAAAATATTTTTAGTGTTTTAGAGAGAGAAATTAATAAATATAATAATTAACTATCAGTTTTATAATAATTATTAAAAAAAATTATCTAAATTAAATTTAACTTTTAAGTTTATCATTAAAAAATATTTCTTATATTTTTTATAAAAAATTGAAAGACAATTACATTTCATCATTATAATTAAAATTTTAATTATTATATTTATTGATTAATTTTATATAACAAATTTATTTTAATATTTATTTTTCAATTATAAATTTAAATGATTCTTTATTAATAATAAATCAATTTAATTATATTGTAAATAAATATCTTTTTAAAAAAATCAAAATAAAATATTTTTTTTTTAATAATATTGAGTCATTTCGAATATACATATTCGAAATCATCTTAAAAATTAAAAATAAAAATCTAAAATAATTTAATATCCAAAAAAAAAAATTATCTCAGAAATGATTTTCACTATTATATTAAATATAAAAATTCATAAAAGTTTAAATCCTCCATGTTAGGGACACAAAAACAAACACATGAAAAATTAAATTAAAGTTGAAGTAAAATAAATAGTCAAGGTAAAGGGTTATTTTCACTCAACCTCTCCTCCCTTTTCTCAACAGCCAGCAAATCAACGATCCAAATCAATAACAACCCCACCGACAATGCTAGCATCAGTCAATCTCTTGACTTCCTCACTTTCCTTTTATACCCTTCAAACCCACCGACAAAACCCAAAATCACATAACTTCATAAAGGGCATTTTCGTCTTTCAATATTTGGTATACCTACCTACTTCCACAGATACTTCCAAATCTATTAGCAGAAATATTCTCCCGCGAGTAGCCGTAACCACCGTAGTCGGGTCGGGTTAGATCCATTTTCTTCAACCAACCCAAAACATTGTACTAGGTTCTTGTTGATCCTTCTTTGTTCCGTTTAACGATCCAAAAATTGAAACAGAACATATTTCCTAACATAGTCACCATTGTCGTTGTCATTCCTTGTCGTTTAGCTGTAATAACAACAAAATTTCTATGTTCCTTTTAAGGAAGTTGCTACATTGTGTTAATTTTGGATTTAAATTTATTTAGAAAAAGTTTAGATCCGAGCCTCAAACTCTGTTTCTGAGTTTGTGGTTTTAGCTTTTTTGAAACGCGCTTTTTTTGAAACGCGCTTTTGCATAATGGGGGAAAAGAGGTCGAAAGGAGGATGTTGTGGTTGGTTTATTGCGCTTGTGATTCTGGCTCTTGTAGTCGGTGCTGTTGTTTATGCTGTTAAGAAGAAGATTCATAACTGGGATTCTGATAAACCAGCTCCGGTTCCGGGTCCTCCTGGTGCCATTGAACAGAAATATGCTTCTGCTCTCAAAACTGCAATGCAGTTCTTCGATATACAGAAATGTAATAATGTTTTTTTTTTTTTTTTTGTGTTTTACAATGTTGTTGGTTGGTTATTGATGCCCCATTAATTGGATACTGTTTTTGTTTGTTTCTGTTGATTATTGTCTTTTGTTTGTGTATGTTCGATGTTTTAGATTCAATAACTAAATCTGATAAAGATGATAGATTGTTATTAAGGTTCAAAGGTTCAACTTTGAACCGTCTCATTCGGTTTGGTTTTTAAAACATTGTTTTTGCGTTGGAAGACTTGATTGTGTTATGCTCACTGTTTTCAGATCGTGATGAGAATATATGAGACATTAATTCTGAGTGTCTGATCTCGGGCATGTTAATGTTGAACATGTTTTTCACATTTTAGTCGAGTTGACCGACATATGTTTGATTCATGTCATGCAGCTGGCAAGTTAGAGAACAACAAAATTAGTTGGAGAGGGGATTCGGCTCTTAAGGATGGAAAGCAAGCAAATTTAGATCTTTCAAAAGGAATGTTTGATGCTGGGGATAATATGAAGTTTGGTTTTCCATTGGCTTTTACTGCGTCTGTACTATCATGGGCGATTCTGGAATACGGAGATCAAATGGATGCTGTTGGCCAGTTGGAACCAGCTCAAGATTCGCTCAAGTGGATCACTGATTATTTCATTGAGGCTCACCCTTCGGAGAATGTTCTGTATATTCAGGTTAGCTAGTGTGAATACTATATTGATGTTCTTCCATAGTTCGTTTCCTATTCAGTTTCATTTATGAAAATCGATGTGGCAGGTCGGTGATCCCGTTGCAGATCACAAGTGTTGGAATAAACCTGAGTCAATTACCGAGGAACGACCCCTCTTACAAGTGAACACATCCAGTCCCGGATCAGATGTTGCAGCTGAAACTGCAGCAGCCATGGCATCAGCGTCTTTGGTTTTCAAAAAGAAGATTCCTACATATTCAAGCACACTCCTCAAGCATGCAAAACAGCTATTTACTTTTGCGGACAATAATAGGGAGATTTACAGTGTGAGTGTACCCGAAGTCGCAACATATTATAACTCAACTGGATTTGGTGATGAGCTTTTATGGGCAGCTACCTGGCTCTACCATGCTACAGGTGATGATTCTTACCTTCAGTATGTGACTGGCCAAAATGGAGACGATTATGCTGAATATGGAAGCCCAACCTGGTTCAGTTGGGACAACAAGCTTGCCGGAACTCAGGTATGAAGAACAATCGAATCTTTTCTCCAATTTTGCTTTCATGTATATATTTGCGTTAATAAATCTTCTTAATGCAGGTTTTGTTATCTAGACTAAGCTTCTTCAAAGCAAAGGGTCTTTCAAGTTCATATGGTGCTGGCCTTCAAAAATACCGAGAATCTGCCGAGGCTGTAATGTGCGGCCTTCTTCCAGATTCTCCAACAGCCACAACAAGCAGAACCGATAGTAATGTTAACTACCGAAATTCAAGTTTTAGTAATATATCTCAACTGCTGTATGATTTCTAATTAGATTTTTATTTTTCTTTGATAAAGATGGTTTGATATGGGTGAGCGAATGGAACGCATTGCAGCAGCCTGTTGCATCAGCATTCTTAGCTTCTATTTACAGCGACTATATGCTTACATCACAAACTCCCAAAATAAAATGCGATTCAGATTCCTACACCCCAAAAGATCTTCGAAACTTCGCCAGATCTCAGGTATGCATCCATATTATTACTTTTGCAGAATATCAGCTTCCAGTTATTAGTCTCTAAATTGAAAGTCTGTCTTAATACTTCCTTCCAGGCTGATTACGTGTTGGGCAAGAATCCTTTGCATATGAGTTATCTGGTGGGATATGGAAACGAATTCCCGCAATTCGTTCATCACAGGGGCGCTTCAATTCCTGCTAATGCAAAAGTTGGTTGCAAAGACGGCTTCAAATATCTAGACTCATCTGATCCAAATCCCAATGTAGCTACTGGAGCACTTGTTGGCGGACCTTTCTTAAATGATACTTACATTGACTCTCGGAACAATTCTATGCAAGCAGAACCAAGCACATATAACAGTGCTGTCATAGTTGGTCTCTTATCAAGTTTAGTCACGACTTCTTCGGCGCTTCAATCGCTTTCCTAAGCAGTATTCTATGTTCTCGATTTCACTCGAAAGAAGTTTACTCGAATTTGATTTTATGTAGCTTTATTCATTTCCTGATCATCGTGCACTATAAGTGTATTGATCATGATATTGTAACTACACGATTGAATTTGTGAGTGTGTGAACCGATGTGTCTGGATAGTTAGTTGTTTATGTATATGGGTGAAGTTTGATTTAGAGTTGTTACCTCAACAGCTTTGGAATGTTGTGCTTCTTTGTAGAATATGTTGTTTGATTCCTCTTGTTGTTGTTGGTGGTGTTATTTGAGTGTGGTCCCATTATCGATCTTCGGTTTTCTTTCACTTTCACTGTATGGGCAAATTAAAAATGTCTTTCGGAAGTGTATTTTTGGAATGCATTTTTTTTTGGGTTTTCTTTCACTTTCACTGTATGGGCAAATTAAAAATGTCTTTCGGAAGTGTATTTTTGGAATGCATTTTTTTTTTTGAAAATACATGTTTGAAATCGAAAATAAATTTCCAGTTTGTATTATTGTGATAGGGTGTGACTTTTCACAGTGTAATTATTTAATTTATTTAAAGTGTAATCGAAAATATAATATCGGTTTATGAACTGTAAGTGTACTTCTGATTTATATTTTTTTTTATATAATAGAATGCACACTAGAAATATATTTTCAGTTTTTTAAGGCAATTTAAAATTTTATACTGATACCTAAAAAACAATTAGAATGCATTAAGAAATTCTCTTACGTTATAATAAGAGTGTATGAAGCATCGATAATTTATCAACATCAAATAAAGACCAACTTAAGAAACTCACTTTAGGAATGCCAATGAGCGTGACTCATCTCATTAATGACATGATTGATCCACCTAAACAATGTAAAAACCACATCCCTCTTCTAAAAATATATTGATATCAAATACATGATATCATTTATCGGGTGTCTTAACTAAAGGTTAGTATTGTTCCTCCCATAGTTTAAAACTCTTACAAATAATTTATATTCAAAAATATTTATATTAGTTAGAAGTAGAAGTTTTTGAGATTGTGTCCCAGAAACATATTTAATATTTAAGATTTTAGTTTGTTTTTTTAACTTAACTATTAAACATACTTTTGTTATGGCCTACGTAATAGAGTTTACTTTTGTGTATTTAAAAAAGTTTGTAACTAGGGTTTTAATATAGTTGTGAATAAAGTTTTTTTCTCAACAAGTTTGTTGTAGCTCTCTCTCTCTCTCTCTCTCTCTCTCTCTCTCTCTCTCTCTCTCTCTCTCTCTCTCTCTCTCTCTCTCTTTCATATTTATTTTTCATCTTCAACATTTGCGCACCAACAATTGGTATCTAGAGTTCTGGTTCGATTCATAGAAAAACACGAGTGTACATGAGACATGTGTAATTGATTTCAGTTTTCTTGAATTTGCGTTGAATTCACGAACAAAATCGTAGTAGAATTGCATTTCTTGATTTTGCGGAATTGGGAAACATGAGTCATGAGTTTGAGTTTTAATGCACAAAATAAAGATGAGCGGTGAAAACCGTTTAAATACTAAGCTTCTGGTGTTTGATGGAAAGAATTGGAATCGGTGGATGATTCAAATGGTGTGTTGTTTGGTGCTCAAAATATTCTTGATCTTGTTGCCGAAGGTTATGTTAGGGTTGCAGCGGATGCGACAGAGGAATAGAGAAACGCGCAGAGAGATACGAAGAAGAAAGATCATAAAGCATTGTTTTACATCCATGCGAACGTGTTTGAGAAAATTGTTGATTCGACGGTGACGAAGGTTGTGTGGGATATACTGACATAGTGCTACATCAGTGATGCTTAGTGGAAAAGGTGAAACTCAATCCCTACGTAAGTAGTATGAGAATCTCAACATGAAGAACAATGATAAGGTACCAGATTACATCTCTAGAGTGATTCTGATCACAATGAGATGAAATCGTATGGAGAAAAACTATGAACAAGTAATCATAGAGAAGATATTGAGGTCTCTTACTCCTCAATTTGATTATATTATTACAGCAATTGAACATTCTAAAGATCTGGACACCGTGAGAATTGAAGAGTTGCAAAGTAGTTTAGAGACGCAGAGTTGCGTTTGACTGAGAGAATCTCTTAAAGAGATGTTAAGCAGGCTCTGAAAGCTTCTTTTGTCAAGAAGGACCATGAGCATTCTTGATCAAAAATCAGGGAGAGATATGTTGGTAGTTCCCAAAAGTCACAAGTCTTCATATTTGATGAGAAGAAACATTAGAAGGAAAATGAGAAGTTTGACAAGAATAAGGTTCAATGTTACTGCCGCGAGCAGTTTGACCAATTTGCTAAAAATTGTTGGTCAAACAAGGGAAGGAAACTAGAAGAAACAAATATAGTCAAAATCTAATGATGAAATTGTGTTATTGATGGCTTCTGAGTCTGATGGTAAATATTTGGTAGACTGGTGGTATATGGACACTGACTGCTTAAATCACTTGACTGGAAACAAATAATGGCTGGTTGATTTTGACCTCAAAAGGAAGACAAAGATCATATATGCTGATGATAAGTACCTTAATACATAAGGTATGGGAAATGTCAAAGTCAAAGTGAAGAATGAAAGAACCGTTATGATCAAAGATGTTTGGTATGTTCCTGAAATGAAGAGCAATCTAATGATAGTAGGCCAACTCATTGAGAAATATTTCTCAGTTACTATAAAGAACAATATCTTGAAATTATATGACTGCAATCAGATGTTGATTATGTAATCTGAGCAGAAAAATAACAGAACATTCAAGGTGAAAGTGGAGATAGCTGAAACTAAATGCCTTAGTCCAGAGTGAAGTGTTAGAAGTTGCGCACTGTAGCATCCAGAAGCAACTTGTAAATGATCTGACGAAGATTGTCAAGACCAAACACTTTATCCGTTTGAGGAATGAAATTGGTGTTGTAGAATTTAGTTAGCTTAATATAAATTAAGGGATGGTGTTAGAAGTAATTCATATTTAGAAATATTTATGTTAGTCAGAAGCATAAGCATGTGGCAGTTTACTTTTGTATATTTAAACAATTTTGTAATTAGAGTTTTAATATAGTTAAAAATATAATTTATTTTTCAACAAATTTGTTATAGTCGTCTTTGTCTCTCTTTTCTCTCGCTTCTTCCATATTCATTTTTTATCTTTAACTTTTGTGCACCAACAAAAACGAGATTCAATAGGTTAGGGCATTATAAGCTAAGAAATTTAATTCTGGAGACAATTTGGTTACTTCATATGGACCACCTTTATCTAGGTTGAGTAAATATTACTACATTGCAAAACAAAACAAATTATGTGTACCTTTTAATTTTTAATTATGTCAGTACATAGGCTAATACCTATTCCACCATTAAGCTTTTTAAGAGAAATTTGTGACGAATTATACTCATAACCAATCTAATCCTCAATTTCAGACATGAACATATGACTTAAAGGTCACGTGAAGTTGTGTCCTAACCCGGCTAACCAAACAAGATAGCTTCTACGAACTAAAGTATTCCAAAGAATTCGAATATAGTATCAGAGTCCTAATTTGATTCAAAGAGTCAGATTGTGTCTTTTTTTAATCCAACATAATAATCACACAAAAAATTAAAAATACTGTATTGACAAAAAGTGTTTAACAAACTAAGTAAAACTTATCAAAAAATATTTAAATTAGATAAAAATTTGATTACTCTTGTAAACAAAAGCTTAATTTAAAATTTAGAATTTAAAATGTATTAAGAACGAATAAAAAAGTAAAAAAATTATCAGTGGAAAGCTGCAACTTTTTCTTTGAAATGTTTGAGCAGGCTCTCAATACTCATAAGGCTACTATCTATCTTATCTCTGACTTGGACATCAACCTGGAACAATGAAACAAATTTTAAATTCCTATAGGAAATGAAAACAAAAACACTCAAAAAGACAAAACCTTAAAGATTAATATATGATAGTTGTATTGTGCTAACTGAGCTAGGAAGAACCTGTTTGACATTAGCTTCCTCTTCTCCAACAACCAAGATATAGTTGTATTGTGCTACCTGAGCTTCTTGCTTGTACCTACAGAATGACACAATATTTGTTAATACAATTTTTCGTTTCAACCTTAGTTTTTTTTAAAACTAAAGCATGCTACAGATTTTTTATAATTAAAGCATACAACATTAAAATAGAACGTTTAAATTTGGCACTTGATCAGTTGCTTACGAGTTCAAATATCCACATACACCTTTTAATCAACCAAACTTATTTGTGGCCAATGATGTTTACAATCGTGGTTAATTCGGTTGAATATATGCTTAATAAGTTACAACACTTTCTTATATTCAATAACCATCAATTAAACTACTTTAACCACATTTGCACTGTGTTAACCATATAATTTGTCAAATTTGATGACCAGATACCATTTCTCATTTGGAAAAAAACGGGTTTCTCCATATTCAAACATTAGTTGCCACATTTTCAATAGGCAGTAGATAAAAACCATAACAGCACTATTTGACACAAGCAAGGGAAAATAAATAACACATTCATTAAATAGGTTATGTATTTATGTATCATGTATCAAAAGAAATAATAAAGAGCAAAAGCATACTCTTAAAAGTTTCAGTTCATATGTGAAATCAAATATTTGATAAACATAATCTACAAAGTTTAAGGTTTTTCTGACTTCATCTTTTATATGTAAAATGAATTGAAATAATAATTTTAACTTCAACTAAATATATTTTCAAAATTTATATTGTATAAATTTACGTTCAACACACCTGAGACTCCCCGCAGAAGGCTTTGGATGCTAATCAGTTTGAGAACTTAAGAGGAAAATTAGGGATTTGCTTATATGAGGGTTTGTAGCAATTAAGGGTGTGTGGGAATATCATTAAAGTGATATTATATTATTTATGTTTTCAACAAATCAAATTTCAAACACAATCATTACTAGACTGTCTCAAAGTGTTTCCCATACGCTACAAAATTTCATCTTTCTACTTTCACAAACTCTTCATTCTCCTCTACAAAAAAAGAACCTTTGTCATTCTTCATCTCTTTGCTCAAAAATCTTCAAAGATGTCTCAACATCATACATCGTCTTCCTCAAAATATGGAAACCTCTCTGAAAATCTCTCCCTTGACAGAGTACTTGATGCTACTCCCCTAACAACCATCCCACCTCTGGAGAAAAAGGTCAAGAAACCCAGATCATCACCTGCAAAGATATCCAAAGATGATAAAGGTAACTCTTCTACTGCTACTGAAAATAGGACAGAAGAAGAGGTTGTTAACGTTGATAGAAGCATCAGAAGGCTAGTAGACAGAGTATTAAATGAAGGCTTTTTCGTGCCTGAGATTTCTACTCCTCTTGCTCGCATGCCTCCTCCGACTGACAAAGGAAGTAACCCTAAAAGCGCTGCTGCTGAATCATCCACCTTTAAGAAAGATGTTGCTGAAAGCAAACTTGAGAAGCTTGCTACCTATGCTCTAAAGGAAGTGGAAGAAGAAAATGTTGAACAAGATATTGAG